TGTATTTCATTAGCAGAGATCAGGTTAATAAAAAGTTTAAGAGTTGACTGCCTTCCCCGGGAGATTTATTTAGACCTCCTCCACAGGGATGAACTGGGAATGGCAGCCGACACTCATTTCTCCAGAGCTCGCTCTGTCATCTCCCTCTGTGGTCCCTAAAGTCTGCCAATTAAAGACCTCCTGGATGACATTCCGCTGCCGAAGTTATGCACACATAAATCACGGTAATAAGAGAAGATTGTTATGTTAACCTTCGTCATGCAACCCTTTTCCTTTTGTGAGAAATACGGAAAACATTCATCCGTCTGGCACAAAGGAAGCGACTTCCCAGCAAACGCCTGGGAGACTCTCCGGATGCTGCCGCTTCCTTGTGGTTAGAGGCAGTGCCTGGTGCACCAGCAGGCATGACTCAACTCAGAACGCCAAGCATCGAGGCCGTAAACCAGGCCGCATGACGTCACAGACAGGATGCTCTGAAATAAACGGGGAGCTGGTTCTATCCAGAGGAACATTTTTCCATGTTTAACCAAGCAAAGCTGGCGACACTACTGAGCACACAGTCTCAAAAGGTCAATTCTTAAGGAGCCTGGTTCTGGGGAGAGATGTCGAGGGCTTTCTGCAGCTGTGGAAGTAACCCACCCACCCCCCCCCCCAGGTGACTGGAGTTTTCCTCTCTGTATGAGGGGCTGGTGTGCAGCAACTGTGAATTCCACTTGGATGGGAACAATTACATCCTCGGCTGAGCGCCCCCAGGAACAGGCCACGGCGGCACCCTTGGACCTGAGAATCGAGGTGCACACCCTGGTGTGATCCCTCACCTGCATTGCAGATCTTCATGGGCTGGTCTTGGGATTTCCCAGAGAGTCAGCTTTGAAAACAAAAAAACAAGAAGAGAAATCTTTATTAACAACAGAGTAGATATTAATGATGTGTTAGTGACTATACCTACATGTTCACTTTAGAAGCTGATATTATTTGAATGATTTGAAAAATAAACATCTAGACATGAACTGGGTTGCTCCTCTCTATAATATAGCTTCATTTTATTAGCTAACCCCTAGTGGCGCTAATGGTAAAGAGCTTGCCTCCCAGTGCAGAAGACATAAGAGATGTGAGTTTGATCCCTGGGTCAGAAAGATTCCCTGGAGGAGGGCATGGCAACCCACTCTAGTATTCTTGCCTGGGTCAAAAGCCCCCTCCTTTCATTTCTAAGAGCCTGATTCTCAGAGCTGCTACCCAAGCATGTCCCGCCTGGGTAGAGCAAGTTCACAGCTGAAAAATGTCCTGGTTCTTTCCTCTCAAGTGATGTTTTTCCAAAGGAATTAAATTTTTCTAGAAGGGAAATAAAGTGGTGTGTGTTAAAGGGGTTGGTGGGGGAGGGATGGAACAGAATTTCCGTTACCACAATTTCACAATCAGAAAGAAACTTCCCTCTGATTCTCTCCAGAGCAACCCACATGCTCTGTAAATTGTCCCAAAATAACCCATTGCATCTGATGCTATTGAATTCTTGGCACCTGGTGACGTTGTTATCTCATTCTCTTATCTCCTGTTATTCTTTTCTTTGGAACTGTAGAGTGAGATGATTTTTTCTTTAATCTGGGGTGGCCAACCTTCCTGGGTTTACCTGAGATGAAAGGTTTCCAGGGTTTGGGACTTTCAGGGCTATAACCAGGGAAAAGTCCCAGGCCTACAGTTGAGTCTCTTGCCTCCATTAAGCGAAGCATTTGTCTCTGGTGTAAGCCTCCCAATACATGACAAATTAAACACAGTTACACTGTTTTGTAGTGTCAAAGATAGCAGACCGTCCACCAGGCTGTGGAAAATGGGTCCTACTTGGGAATCTGAGCAGAGGAGAGCCAATCGCTATTGAGAAGTAAGCCACCTTAAACTGGAGGGAGAAAACTGAGGTTTTGGATGTTGTACTGACTCTTAGGAGCTTCCCAGGTAGCACTAGTGGTAAAGAACCCACCTGCCAATGCAGGAGACTTCAGAGACATGGGTTTGATCGTTTGGTCAGAAAGATCCCTTGGAGGAGGGCATGTCAACCCACTCCAGTATTCTTGCCTGGAGAATCCCATGGACAGAGGAGTCTGGCGGGCTCAGTCCATAGAGTCACAAAGAGTTGGACACAACTCAAGTGATTGAGCATGCATGCACTGACTCTAAAGCAGGAAATGATGAAGGCTTGATGGAGAAGAATAGAAAACAATGAACACGGGAGCACATAGTCCTCCACAGAGGTCTTGCAAACGGTTCCAAACCAGTTCACACAGTTTTCACCAGTTAGCACAGGCCCCAACAGAAACAGTTCCCCTGAGTTTCCCACATGAATAACATCCTCTCCCCAGCATATGTTGCCCAAGGACTGTCCCATCACAGACTTGCTATTTTTAATCAAAATATAAAGGAACAATTAACAGTATAGGAAGACAAACATCATACAATATCACTTACATGTGGAATCTTAAAAAAAATAATGCAAATGAACTTACAAAACACGAAACAGACTCACAGACTTGGAGAATGAATTTATGGTTGTGGGGAAAAGAGGGGAGGGATAGATTGGGAGTTTAGGATGGACATGTACACACTGCTATATTTAAAATAGATAACCCATGAGGACCTACTGAAGAGCACAGGGAATTCTGCTCCATATTCTGTAATAACCTAAATGGGAAAAGAATTTGGAGAATGGCAGTGGGATTGGCTTAGTCACTAAGTCATGTCTGACTCTTGTGACCTCATGGACTGTAGCCTGCCAGGCTCCTCTGTCCATGGAATTCTCCAGGAAAGAATACTGGATTGGGTTGCCATTCCCTTCTCCAGGGGATCTTCCCAACCCAGGGATCAAACCCAGGTCTCCTGCATTGGCAGGCAGTCTCCTGCACTGCAAGCAGATTCTTTACCAGTTGAGCCACTGAGCCACCAGGGAAGCCTGGATACATTAATTTGTATAGCTGAATCACTCTGCAGTACACCTGAAACTAATACAACATTGTTAATAAAAATCTTCAATATAAAGTAAAAAAAAAATTTTTTTAAGTATAGAACTAGTATACCTGGTCTGTTACAGGCAAAAAAAGAAAATTCAATTTGGATTTTGTCATCTAAAGAGCTGTGAGACTCCTGACACTTTCAGTCTTTTAAACCCCAAAGTATCAAAAGCACCATCACACTGACCCGTGGGTTGTAGTATAGAAACTGGCCATAAGATTGGAACAAATTCCCACCTGCTCACCTGGGCTTTTGAGGGGAGCCTGGGACTCCTCCAGGGGGCATGATGTGTGTGAGTTGGACTCTGAAGCCCTTGGCTAAAACCACTGTTGGATTTTTTTCTTTATGCGTTATATTATTATTAGCTGGACACCTGAATTCTTCCACAAATCCCAGATCCAAATTAGACATGTCACATCTTAAAGGGTGAGGCTGGAAGATAGAGGATGACATTAGTAATAGGGAGGCAGAGGAGACACCTGTGAGTGCTTTCGTTTGTGTCACTGAATGCTTCTCATGTTACAGCGTAGGAAGCTGCCACTTTTGTGGATCCAGTTTTTATATCATTCATCCTAATACATTGTCTTCTAGAAGCCTCACATTAAGTGCACTGATTTTACCCTCTTTTTGTATGAGAACACTGAGGTGCGAAGATGCAATTCCAGTCCATGGGCAATCCCAGCTTGTCCCAGGTCTAATTCCAGACACTGTACTCTCACCCATGACCCTTTAGGGGCCATCTTTGACCTGATTCCCCAATCCTTTGATCCTCTCCCTGGCCTTCCCCAATATGCAAACTTCTGATGATGAAGGATGAGCAACCTTGACTGATCAGGTGTACCCAATAAATGGTCACAGGCAGGCAGACACATGGATGGGGGGGTCAGAGTGGACTGACCGCCCTGCCTTGGGCAGGGTGACTTCACCCCACTGTGGTGGGAAGCTCAAGCTCATGGACCCTGAGGTGCATGTGGACTCTCCGGGACGAAACAGGCAGGGCCCCTTGGGGAGCCACTGGTCCCATGAGGTGATGCCTGGGAAGGACACAATGTGATCTCCACTTCTCTCCCTGCCTCAGGCCACCAAGGCTGATGACCCAAATGTTGACGTCCCTGCCCAATGCTTCACTGAGAAAAGCCCGGTGCCCACCACAAATCTCGCCCCTGCTGGGAGGTCAATACATAAGCTGTCTTCTCCTTACGCCCTAAGTTTATTTCACAGTTTGGACCTTGCCTGTTCAGTCTTGGAAATATCTCAAATATGCATATACTGTGTTCTGAAGAGCTTCCACAGACACTGTTTATTAGTCACTTTGATCTAATTCATCACACAGAAAAATCTCAAACAAGTACCAAGAGTCCTTTCAAGGGGTAGGGGGGTGGCGCGGGGGGAATGCATGTTGAGACAATAAAAGTCTGCCTAAGCCCCCAATTCCCACAGCTCAGCCGTTGGTGCCATGGGTTCAAAAATGTAATTAAAAGGAGACCGTCGATTTCACTCACCATTGTCAAAAGGCCACGTCACCCCCTGGAGGAGAGGCGCGCTTTAGTCAATTTCCCCGTCCATGCCAAAGTTTCAGAGAGATCCTTCACTTTATAAATCAACTCACAGCTTAGAACATCCTGGCAGCCCCTTCAAGGAACCGAAGGGAATGACAGGCAAAGAGAGGATAACCATCATAGCTTGACTGGATACAGGTGTTTGCGTTTACAGACGAACCGCAAACGCCTGGATCTCTGACAGGCGTTGACGCTATCAGTGCATCGCAGCTATTATTGGCTCCGGTCGCCAAGGGCTGGGGGGCCTCTCCCTTAGCAACATCTCTGAGGCTGATAACATTTGGCTGAACTTTTCAGATCTTAACCTCCCTTCTGACTTTCTGCAGTCAAACCCGCCTAAACTGATCAGAAGAAGAGACACGCAGTGGGAAGACAAGTAAAATATTATTGACTGGACTGTTTCATGTCTATTAGGAAGAAAGAGCAGAGAGCGGAGGGAGAACCTTACAGCTTGACAGCCTTCAAGATAATCAGGGGAGGAATCAGGGCTGCACAGTAACCCTCGGTGAGGTTGGAAAGCACGGGCTCACGAGAGGCCATTGTTCTTTGCGGGAAACCAACAGGGTGCTGGGCAAACAAGCGCAAGATTGCATTCCTCCGCCGGACCCTGCTCCTCTCCAGAGGCACCCCGACTCCTACGCCAGAGCACAGGCTTGAAATCAGGGAGCCCTGTGGCTCCAGAAGAGGTCTCACCCGGAAGTTTTTTCTTTTTTTTTGGCCTCAGGCACATCCCAGCACCTTTGTTCAAGGCAGGACCTGCAGACACAGGCTATGCTGCCCTTGAAGAACTTGGCCCTGACAATTGGTATTGTCAATTTGTTTCACTTCCCTGCTTCTTGCCCAGGGCGGCCAGGACTGACCTCTTGACCTCTCCAAGTTTAAGTCTTCAGCAGTCTGTGTGTGTGTGTGTGTGTGTGTGTTGGAGGGCTGGTGGCTGGAAGGGCCCTGCTTGCTCTGAATGACCCTGAGGTCAGTCACCACGGCCTTCCACGACCCCACAAAGGGGTCATTTGATGGAAAACATGCTCCCTAGTGCCCCCAACCCACTGGGAAGGACAACACCCCACTTGATAACCACATGCAAGGTCAGGCTTCCTGTCCAAAGCAGAAGCCAGGGTCTCAGACACTAAGTTGGCCCTCTGTCAATCCCCAGCCCCACACCCCCTGTTACTCACCCCTTTTTTTTGCAGATGAGAACACCAGCAGACAGACAGGGAGGCCTCAGACACCCTACTAGCGCTCCCCTCTGTCCTCATGTCCCCTCATGGACAGAGGGGAGCTCATCACGTGGGTCTGCTCATCACGGAGCCATCTCTCTTCCAGAGACACGGCCTGTTTTCCCCTGCCGTGTTTCTACTTCACATCTCAGCAGCCTTGATCTGTACAAATAGTTGGCTACTGGTTGGCCACATACACTGTCCTCCCATCCAGGGAACCATCTGATCCTCTGGAACCACGTGACTTTGTCACCAGGAGTTTCTGGCCCTGCAGGAAGAGTGGGTGAGTGACATTTCAGCAAAACCGCAGGACAGGGTGACAGAATTAGGATGACAGTACTAGAAGGAACTAAAAAGTCCACTTCTCCAATTCTTTAATCCCAAATACAGGGACACTGAGGCACAAAGCAAGGAAAGGAAAGACACTTGGGTTTATAAAAACCTGTCCCCATACACTTGCCTCAAGACATGCTCAGGTATATGTCCATCCAGGCTCAACAGCCCCCGTTCCCATCCCCTTGCTGCCCTGTACATGCTCATTGTTCTTTGATTTCCCTCCTAGGACCTGCCACAGAGCTTTCTAGAAGTCTGTTTCCATGACATGATGGTGATAATGATGACGACGGTGACAGCAGCCATCAGGTACCAAGCATTGCACTACGCCAGGCCCTGGCCTAAGGCCATCACGTGGATCATTTCACTCAGTCCCCAACACGGTTCTTTTTGCATTATGAAGGCTCCAACCCCATTGTGGAAGAATCATCACCATTGCAGGGGAAACCCAGAGAGGTGATGTACCTTGCTCAAGCTCACATAGGAGAACCAGAAGTCCAGCCTGTTTCTCCACACAGCCACCCATCAGGGTTGTCCCAGGGTAGGTGGGTCTGTTCCCAGGATTCTCAACATCCCCACAACTATGTCTCTGAACACAGCTGCCTACCTCTCAGTCTCCAGACACTCCAGGGGTTTGACTTCCTGGAGACCTCTGGGAAATGGACCCCAACTTTCCCCTCCTGTATCAGCCGCTTCCTGGCTGATTCTCTTTCCCCTCAGCCCAGAACCCATGTAGGTTCATCAAATTGGCTGCTCTCAGCTGCAGTGTCCTCACTTTACCCATCTTTTCCCTGCAACCAACCAAGTTCAAACCCTGTTCCATCCTTTTCCTTATTCACCATACAGTGTGAGGTCTGCCACCTACAGACTTAGAAACATTTCTGGCCATACCTCCTTCCCATCTGTCTCAGCGAACCATCCTTCTGCTGAAGACAAAACCTTCTCTCTCCTCTCCTCCAGTCTCTCCATCATCACTGGCCCAAGGCTCCTCCAGCCTAAACAAACCACCCTCGACCCTCACTTGCTCCCCTTACCTGCTCAAGTCACCCATGACTTTCCTGCTGCCAGATCTAATGGGCACTTCTCAAACCTTACACTGGTGGACACTCCGCTGCATGTACCACTGGTGACCACTTCTACCATCTTGAAACTGTCTACCACTTTGACCACTGCTTTTCCTTCTATCTCCCTGACCACTCAGGCTCAGTTCCATCCATGCTTCTGCATTCTCAACCTGCTCCCTGATGTTGGTTTTCTTCAGGCTTCCACTAATAATCCTTACACCTTTAATTCCCACCCCAGGCACCATCTCACCCATTCCCTATAGACTTCAGACTTAGGTTCTATCTGGCTGGACCGTTGCCTTCAGCAAAAAACATGTGCTCATGCTAAGTGTCCAGTGTCTATGATTTTTTTCATGGTTATTAGGTAATCTGGTTTGGGATTACAGGTGGCTTCCTGAGGTGATTGGCCACGGGGGTAAAGTGTGCTGATGACAATCAGAGGTGAATTTCCAGGTCAAGGTCATTCTATTCCTCATGCTGAATTAACGGTTAGTTCCCCAGCATGTGAAAGACGTGAGAATTGGTCTCAGCTCTGTTAGCCAGATTCTACCCATGGTGAGACCTTAAGCTTTTGAAGAGGAATCAAGAGTCAGCCACCTTCTTCTCCCACAATACTGCACACTACCATGTCCATCTATCCTTGTTCTAAGCTGATCTCCACTTGCACCCTTTCTGAACCTGAGTCTATGCCTTAGAGAGGAGTCACGTGTTGGTGATGGACAGAGCCAGCCTCCAGCTCTTCTGGGCCCAGTGCTTCCAGGACACAGGTCAGCTATGATGTGGCTCTATCTTTGGTGCACTGGGCAGCCCCCATTCATGTGCACTCCCCCCGGGGAATAGGGTGGCCCCCTGTAGCTGTGTGATACCATGACTCTGGGAGAGGGTTGGGAGGTGGTCATCAGGAAGAAGCACCCTCTAAACAGGTTTGACGTTGCTCTGTCCTCAAAATTTTTGCCCCTGAGGTACAAGGACCTGAAGGTGAAGCAGGTGATGGATAGCCATTTCTTCTTTCTGTCCCAAATCTTAGCACCTCCATTCGTGTCCATCCAAGTCTGAAAACACAGAGGGTTTGGGGGAGGAAGTTTGAGACAGGAGGCCTGAATTCAGCTTCCCCCTGTGTCATTCACACATCATTGCTGATGACTCTGGGAAACTGGGTTGATTCAAGCCTAAGGCAATGAGTAAGCCAAGGGCAGAGGTTATAGCCAGGGGTAGGGGTGGTATCTTCCCAGGGCCTTCCTGGGCCCTCCTCCTCTGTGTCTCTCTGGGGGCCCCCTATCCACGTCTGGCTCCTTTTCACCTTCCAGGTTCAGCAGTCACCTCCTTGGAGAGGACTCCCTGCCACCCATGATAGCATAGCGCCAAATCCTGTCACTTTGTAACTGAAAGCTCTGTTTTATTTTCTGAAGAAGATATGAACGGGCTTTTTGTTGTTGTTGTATTTCTTAGTTACCTGGTGGTCTAAAAGTTCTAGATCTTAGTCTGAGGGAGAATGTGCCTGGCTCATAGTAGGTCCTCAATAAAGAGTCACTGATTTGCAAATGAAGGAATGGAAAACTGGTGATTTGACATCCTCCACCCTAGGGTGGGGTGGCGTCAGGGTTTTCAAAGGTCCAATTCTTGTATCTCAGTGGTTCTGCTTCTCATGACTTTCTCCTCCCAACACTTCATCAGTGATATAATAGCTGGGAGTCCTCTGATGCATGTATCCCCACTTTGGATTCAGGGTCCCTAAGACAGGGATGGGTCCCACAGTCACCCTGCACCCTTTCAGAGGAGCCCATCCTGGATCCAATGCCCCAGGCACTCCTGTGCACTAAGTCCCCTAGAGAAAATGAGAACTACTCCACAACAGATAGGACCAGACCTTCCCCAGGCAAGAAGTGTCTGTTGACACCTTCTTAGAATGGAGTGCTCAATGAGCAGGGACTTTTATCCTCCCAAAGCCACTCCAGAGGAGGCCCAGGCACCCCTCCCCTCTCAAAACCCTTCTTCCCTTTGATCTCGTGTGATTCTCCCCAAAGTTGAGGGGCTTCCCTTGTGGCTCAGCTGGTAAAGAATCTGCCTGCAGTGCAGGAGACCTGGGTTTGATCCCTGGGTTGGGAAGATCCCCTGGAGATGTGAAAGGCTCTCCACTCTAGTATGCTGGCCTGGAGAACTCCATGGACTGTATAGTCCATGGGGTCACCAAGACTCGGACACGACTGAGCGACTTTCACTTCACTTCACATCAAACTTGTAGGCGAGATCTGACACGTTAATTTGTATGTGCAACAAATCCTGCTAGTGTCCAGAGTCATCAGCGTTGTGTCTGGTGGTTCCACAGCAATTACACCCAAACCTTGACCCTCTGTCCTCAGGGGTCCTGTTCATCCTTTCTCTCCACCTGGACTACACCCCCTGAGGGCTAAGTGGGGGCACCTCCCCCAACTTATGTAAATAAGACTTCACTAAAGAGCACCGTAGATAGAGCCCACTCATAGGGAGTGCTGGTAGACCAACAAGCCCTCCCGTTTGGCTGATATAGAGATACACCCAGGAAGAAAGAAATGACACAGCGGGAAAAATGAAAAAATAGTTTGGGAGGGGGGAATAGTGATATGTAGAAACAAAGAAAGATTACGGGCAAAAATTCATTAAGATCTTAAAAGAAAAAAAAAAAAACTATTCATGGTATGTGCAGGAGTGAGGGGCTATGAGTTGAAGGTTAAGCAGAGCTGTCCTCTTGGCCTGAACAGTCTAGTCTTACATCATCCCTCTCTGCTATCTCTCCATGCTATAAACCATAAGCGGCTCCATTCCAGCAATTTCCAGGAACAACCAGCAGTCCAGCCCTAGAAAAATCACCCCTCAGATGCAATGATGGTTATCAGAGCAGTGTCACCCCAAGTCCCGAGGAGATCCATGCTGGAGGCAGCTCTGGTCCCTTGATAGAGGTTTTCCAAACGCCCTTGGCAGACTTCGCTGTGCCAGGCAGGCAGAAGGAAGCTGCCTTACAAGCCTTATGCTTTCCTTACTGCT